ATCCTGTGCTTTTCCCTATACAAGACATGGGTTTGCCACTCACATACTCCATGTGCACTGCACAGTCTCACACAAGCTGGAGAGAATGCATTTGGGACAGCAAGGACCATCAGCAGATGGACAACAACCAACACTTAACTGCTATGACTTACATTCTAATAAAACAAAATCCAGGAGCAAAGGATTAGTTCCCAGCTTAGTTCCCAGCTAGGTAACACAGAAAAGCAGCAATTCTGGCCTTGAGCTGTTTGTAACTGACCTCGACCTCATGAAGGCAAGTGAAAACTCCCATTGGAGCATTTGACCCTCAGACAGGCTAATTCCAGTTGATTGTTCCCATTTTATTTAGCTATGCAAACAAGCACCAAGTCCTACACTTAAGCTCTTATAAATAATATCCCTTCATCTCCAAAAAAGCCCAGGTGAGAGCTTTAGTTTTGCGACCCTTATTCTTTCATAAGAAAAATAAATAAGCAGAAATCCATGAATACATTTCCTTGTAAATACCAGTAGAAGCTATTGCAATTAAACCCAGGAAGAGGTGGGGGAGCCCAGATGGAACAAAGTTCAAGTCCTTCTGTAGCAAGTTCCTCTCAGTGACTTGGGAAACAAAGACTGCATTTCCTCTCCTCCCTACAGCCTCTTAACACTATTCTGCTAGAGGGGTAAGAGTGGCTGGAAATACCCCAGTGAAGCATTTAGTCAGAAGACAGACACATAGAGAGACGGAGAGCTTTCTTAAACAATACCTTTATGTGCCTAGAGTATTTTGTTTGAAACAGCTGTATGTGAATGACTTTTGGAGAAGCCTGAGGCTTGAAGCCCACAACAGCTGCCCTGACAGACAAGACACCAGACTTCCCTGACAGCTGTAGGGCCTGGGGAGCTTCTGGATTCCTGGAAACACTGACAAGTTGTCAATTCAATCCAGTTTTGACCACAGCCAAATTTCAAAATTCCTGAAAACTGGGAGCCCTTGCTTTTAGCTACCTCGGGTCTGAATTTCTAGAGGCAAAACAAGGGTTGCAACATCATCATTTCCTGTTAAGTTCAAGTATTGAAAAGTACAAATTAGTCCTTCTCAGAATTGTGAGATTACCTCCAAATCTTGACACTTGAATGAACAGATGTTCTTTGCTCTTGCCTTCTCCTTTGCAGACCTCTGATGTGTCGGTGGTATTTTTTTTTTTTTTGTAGTAACTGCATAAAAAAATTTTAACTTTCTCTTACAAAAACAAGGCAAAACTGAAATTCCTGTCCAGTAATCTTCTGAGTGTTGCAAATGTTATGGATAAAAGTAGCTGTGTTACCATGCTACTTGCTTCTTGATCTGACCTTTTAGAGCTACAGCCTAGTGCCAGTAGCATAAAGGACAAACCCTTAAGATGCAGCGGTATGGAGCAGATGGTGAGAAGGAACACAGCTGCGAGGAACAGAACTGCAGAGCACACTCCAAAGGAAGTGGAACTCAGTAAGGGACCTCAGGAGAGGTAGGGAGAAGCCAGCGAAGTACAGACTTGGCTCCTCCTCAGAAAAAAATGTGATAAAAACAAGAAATGACTAAGGAATCGTAATCTAACTGAAGACAGACCTGGACTTTTCAAAGTTTTTACTTTTCCAACTGGGACAAAACACCCTCACAGGAAGCCAGGTTCTGAAAGCCTCCAACCTGTCTGCAAATACCACATGCAATAACCAGCAGCTTTTGTATGCTTCCACAGAGTTCCACAGAAATTAATATTTTCAGAAAACTCTCATTTCCTCTTCGAATTCATATGCAACAGGAGCGCACAACTATGGGGATTGCCAGTCACTTCACATATCCCTAATGTCAAGACTTCCCAAGTACTGTGCTGTAGGGAGTTCTCTGAACTCCAGGGATTTCCCATCAGTCCAGACATGTGTTACAACACTGCAGTAGGACACATGTCGAAGCTGCTTCTGTGGTGTCACAAGCTGTGTGGGTCCACCAGCAGCTCCAGCAGGTCCAGGCAGCAGGTTTACCAATTTGTGCTAATTGGTCTCTCCATCTCTTTAGGTAAGATCCAGTGAAAAGCTGCTATAAAGCAGCAGTTTTAACTGTAAAGCTCTGTGCCTCAGGTTGTGTACTCCCTGCAGACTTGGCTTAATTACAGCAACGTGACAGTCTTCATCCCCTACAGTTAAATCTGTGGTCTCTGGACTTGAAAGACCATTCAGGATGTCACATACAGCATGTTCCCACACAGACACACTCAGGACCCAGTGAGGCAGATGGGAGCCCTAGAAGCATCTTCATTTTAGTTAGGAATACCTCCCTCTAGCCTCTGCCTGCCTGTCTCTAATTACAGTAAATTCTGTATTTGACTGTATGTATTACTATAAACTGCCTTCTCCACAGCAGCATTGTCTCCTCCCCACATACTCTTCACTGAAGAGGGACACTTTAATTATTTAGAAAGTGGAAATCCAAACATCCCCTCCTGAGCAGTGAGAACATCCAGCCAGGTTCCTAACCTGACTCTTGGAAATTCTACTCAGAAGCCCGAAGTCAACAGAGTAAGACAGACAGACACTCCCACCTAGTGGGGAAGGCACAGCTCTGAGTCTCTGGGACTGGAGCTGCTTCAGCTCTGCAGGCACACACACTCCTCCTACAGAACCCTTTGCTTTTTGAATCAACAAGAGTAACAGCTGTGACAAAACCTGAGAGAGCTACTTTTAGTTATTAAGCAGAAGAAAAAGGCAGGTTAAGCCTACCAAGTTACCAGTATTTTTTTATCTCCTTGGTATTAGACATGACTGCAAATACAACTCTTTCACTTTACAGGAGTGTAATGATTAACTGCTGGAAGGTCAATGCAACAGGCATGTAAAATATTAGCAGAATGGCACAGTGGCATTTTAAACCTACTTTGCTACACTAGAGAGAACTAAATTATTGAATGCAAAATAAAGACAAGTCACTCATCAGTAGGTAAAGAGGCTTTAATATCTAGGAGAGCATACCAGCTCACAAGCTGTGTCACTGTATCTTCTGGAGACAGTTTAGGGCTTTACTGCTTTGGGGGTTCTTTAATACATGCTGTAGATAAAGGTAAAATAAAAAATTGTAAGGTGGCAATTAGAAGCTGGAGGGGAAAAGCCTCTTTGATCTATTTCCATTTCTGCATGCTCAGTGAAGACATCCAGAGACCCCTCATTCTCCAGCAGGATGAAGGTGCCATCCTGAGGGTTCACTGGGGCTGGCCATGGCATCACCTGCCATGGGGGTGGTAGAAAGGCTGCAAGAGCTCAGTTTGGCTGGCCTCAAATTACTTCAATCTGTTCTGGAATAGAATGAGATACACAGACTTTATGATTCATATTAGCCTTCAAATGTCTTTGTGGGTCAGCAGAAAAGTCACAAATGTGCACTTGCATTTCCCAGCAGCATATTGCCCTTTTGGAACCAACTGCATGTTTCTGAAAAACATTCAGTCACCACAATCTGCAGTATGCAGACACAAAGTCACTGTGCGCAGCAGCTTTGTCACCTGCAAGTATTTATGACGGGGTCACCCTGATGCACCCTGTTCTTTCAGCCCATGACACACTATAATTTCCCAGGTTTTGGGTTAGGTACTGCACTTTGTTCCCCTCTTGAAAATTATTCCAAGATTTTATTTAAACAGTGTGGCCTACACAGATTTTAATACAATAAACTGTGTCTACAAATGGCATCTTCATCAGCAACACGGCTAAGCCCCGGGGTCTGTCAGGATGCAGTTTTGCAATTCTTCTGTTTAGTCCAGGTCAAAGACTAATCCAGCACTGAAATCTGCAAACTCTTTGCTCCTGTCATGCAGATCAAGTCTGCAAGTAATGCCATGCTCACTGGTGACGCTCTGCAGAGATCAGGTTGGAGATGACTTTACACAAATATTTTTACCACTGGGGTTAGGAAGGTCTAGGCAGAACAAATTGTTAATTTCATGTTTGAATAACAGGTCTCACACTTATCCAGACAGAGCATTTGAGATCAGCTGTAAGGTTTTCCCCTTCCTGCTTCTCAATTCATGTAGGAAGAGACCAACCTGCCCATCTCCACAGCAACCCCTGTAACACAAAGTGCTAGTTCTCAGCAGCAATTCTAAGTTTACTGCCTAACACAATTAGTAAGAGGTTTACACACTTTCTCTGCCCAGTTAACAGCTTTGCTAGCACACTTGCTAAATTACAGGCACATACCCCACCTCATAGTGCCACAAGAACCACTTTTTCCAGATTGCACTGCAGTACGGAATTAGACAGCTTAACCAAGCCCCAACTTTAAATGAATCACAAAGAAACCTTTGTCCTTTACAGCTGTCCACCAGAACAAGCATTAAATAATTTTCACTGCTTCACTGTCTCTATTTGCCTTCAACACCTGGTAAGTTCTATCTTCCTATTCCACAGGCATTGCTTTTTGTATAGAGCTGAGGACTTTCCACATTCAGACCTAGACAGGACACAAGGTAGCAGGACTCACCAGCTGACTGAAAGCAGGACACCAGTGGGACTTTTTCTTAACCTCCTGCACAGCAGAAACTCAGCCTCACCAGCACTGCTGGGTCTCACACTACTGCCTTTAGAGCCTCAGCAAATGTTGGCTGTGCCTGAGGAGCTCTCCATGGTTTAAAGCCTCACCACCTGGAACTAACTCAAGCTTCCTCCACAGCTTAAGCACTCCTTTCCAGAGCTCCAGTCTACAGGCGTATTTACCTCCTGTTCCTTTGGTGTGGAGTACCAGGATGTCTGGCACACACATTACAGCACTCACCAACAAATCCCTGCCTCAGCAGTCACTCATATCCAGGAGCACTCCACCAGTTTGTCTTTCATCTCTGCTATGTGGTATCTCAGCATACGTAATAAAGAACAGAAAAAAACTCCAGTTTCTTCACCTTCAAGCAGACACCAAGCACAACATGCCAACCATTTCTTTTTCAAGACCACGGGCATGCTCTGTTACACTACACAGGTCACTTAGTCCCTGCTTCAAGCACCAAGTTTAATTTGTTACTACTGCTTCACCAACATGACTGTGCAGAGACTGGTATGTGCATGGAATCAGTCTTTTTAGTTTAAGCAAGGTCTCAGACATACCTGAACAGTTAGTATGAAATGAGTGTCACATGCTGACATTCAGGCCCTAGATGAACAACTTGCCTGAGCCAGTACTGTAATCTCTTGCCCAAAGTAATGCTTCCAACAAGCATCAGCGTGATACGCAAAGTTCTCATGTAAGAAATGCAGGAAGGGATAGGGATGACTGAAAACAATCAATTCAGGCAGGCAGAGCAACAGCTATTTCCCCTTCCATTCATCTTTTCAAACTTCATGAAAGCTCTGCAGCCCGTAATACAACAAATTACAAAAGGCATTTTTCTCTTCCAATTGTTTCAAAATCAAGTAACTAAACCAGATATTTCTAAAAATGAGTCTCTTGTAGACAGTTATAGAAGATTCTTCTTTTGAGTTTTATTTTTTTATAGCAACAGTAGCACATATTTCCACTTAGGTATTTTAGTGCAACAAGGAAATCCATTAAGCTTCAGCAGGGTGACCTATGTTTCTATATGCAATGGAACAGATTAAAGTGTCTCCCTTTGTTGCACAACAGTTTAAAGCTTCAGAACTCTAAGTAAATACCTTTCACAGAATTAAACAAGCAGACTTTTGCTTGATTATGAAATGCTTTTGTTGGATGAGTGAAGTGCTTTCTGCAGTAGAACAATTCATTTGTAAGACACAAGCACTACTACAAGAGTGGTATCAGAGTAGAACTGGTGACATTTTAGTAGTCTGTGCAAGAATTCCACTCTACTTTTTGGAAGCTGCATATCTTGAAGATACATTCTCCCAGTTGATCACATTCCAGATGGCTTTCAAATAATCAGGTCGAACATTTTTATATTGAAGATAATAAGCATGTTCCCATACGTCAATGCCTAGCAAAGGAATGAGACCTGTGAAAAAAGAGGATAAACTCTGTAAATGTATGAAAACACACCTTACATGTAAAGTTTTATACTGCATCCCCAAGCTGTACCCAGTTTCTGAGTCTTAATCTGCAGGAAGACAAAAAGCTCTGCAGCATACTGGTGCTTACTGCAGTATTTTACAAAACAGTGCTCACACACATATACACACACACACAGACACAGAGCATAAACTCAAAGAGCTGATTTGGGTAAACACATCTATAAATATTCTGGAACTGCCTTGAAGACATAACCAAAACCAGATGAAGTCATTTTTGAAAGGTTTCTATCTTTTGCACAGTTATGCAAGCACTTTCATGAAAAATTACATTATAAAGGTTTCTTGCTATGCCAGTTTGCTTCCAATAATTTAATTACAGTCAATTTGTTAAGAGCCTAATTACCTCTGTTTTTGTGCTAAAATACCCTTGTCACTGAATTTTTAATGGTAAATTTTCACAGGAGGGAGGGTGAAATGTACCCCCATTATACACTATGTCCCTATACTAAATCTGTAATTTCATTTCATCCTACTGATAGGCAATACACAGACTGCTGGCAATACATGAAATTCCTTGCCATTCTCTATGAATTCTGCAGAACATGTTTTAAATGTATCTGCAAAATGCTTTGGACAAACTGACAGTGCAGGCAAATGCACTGGTCATGACCTCCTCTCTGTGAAGGGTGTCCAGCCTGCCATTAACACTTCTGTGTCTCTCTATGGAAGAATATCTTGGAAAAAGATCACTGCCAGTACTATGCTGCTTATCCAGCTGTAACATTGAACCACATCATAGTGGTTAATAGTTTGGTTAATACTCATTACAAATTATAGAGCTCCATTTTAAACCCAGTCTAGATAGGAACAATAGTTACTATGTTCATCTTCCTCTCTTCCTGTTGTCTGGCCTCCGATGAGAGTGCTGTGAATAGCTCCTCTGCCAGAGAAAAAAAGATCTGAAGGCAAGAGGCTTAACGTTGCTTGCTAAGTGCAAGTTACTCCAGTTACTCAAAAATCCAAGGAAGCTGAAGCTAAAACATTCAAAACATGCAAAAAGCACTATCACAATATGGCCCATCTATTTTCCCTTGGACTAGAAGGACACTTAATCCTTCTGCTCTTCACAGTTTTTAAGTCCTGCTTCACAAATGCTGCTCTAAAAACTGCGTTTTCACTTCTCCTAGAAGAGACATTTGGTTCTTCTGATCTATTTATCCATCAATTTCTTCTCAACACTGTCCACAAACCACTTTTCAGATGTCATACACCTGCCTATCAAATCTACAGAAGCAGAGGGTAAGGAAAGAAACCTGACCTGTTGTTCCTTGCAAAGGGTCTTGATTTGCACAAGCCGCTATCTGTAGGCGGCCCTGATCCTTGTTATAGCCAAGCCACCCCCAGCCTGATCCTTGAACACCAACTGATACAGCTGTCAGCTTCTCCTTGAAGTTTGCAAAGGAACCAAAGTCACGCTTGATGGCTTCCATCAATTCTCCTTTAGCAAAAAAAAAAGCACAGAAATTTCACAGGCATATATACATTAATCAAAACTTCTCAAGTTTATCACAACAGCTTTTGTGACATCTGTACTAAAGGGTCTTTACATTTAATTGCAGGTCACTTTAGGTAATCAGTACTCTATCCTCCCCAAGGGGATGTCTTCCTTTAGGCTTTAACTGTTAAACTACCCCTATCCAAACTGGAGTACAACTCCAGCCACTAGACTGGATAGATCTGCAGCACATTTCTTCCCTGTCTGTGAACCGAGTACATATGGTAATTTAATTAGCACATCTTTGTATAACTATTTTCTCATATGAAGGTGGAAAGGATGTACACAGCAGTTGCCAGGTATTTTGCATAATCAGCTTTATAAATTAAAAATACTTTGTATGTGTAGTTTTTTATACTTATGGCTTACATCCAAAAACCCCCTGAATACCTCAGAATTTTGGAAATTGTCACATAGAAAGGTGAATTAACTCTGAAAAATAAAGATCTCCTTTATTAAGATAAAGGAAAATTAATAAAGAAATTAATTAATAAAGAAAAATTTAGACTCCTTCAAAGAGAAAAAAGATCATAAATTCTTCCTGTTAATTAATACCGATGCAATAAACCACTGCAGCACGCACTAACCTTTAGGCTCTCCTCCTCCATTGGGGGAAAGGTTTGTCCAGAAGATGGTGTGATTGATATGACCCCCACCATTGAACTTCAGTGCAGGTTGAAGTGACACCTGAGTTGTAACATCACCTAAGGATACAGAAAATAAAAATACATAAATAAAAACATTATCATCAACACAACAGGCAGTAAGTTTCTACTAGGCCTCCACTGATCTCCCAAATCTTTCTACAAGCATCTAACTTATCAATGGAAAACATAAGGTTTGTACTGTTATCCATGTTTTAGACAGTCACAGACAAACTCTATTAAAGATTTATATTATCTTTGACCCTTTTTTATGCTGTAGTAAGTGATCTGCAATATTTCAACTATCAGGTAGCCCACATAAGACCTACAGCCATTCTACAGCAGAATAAAACAATGAGCACAGTCAGAACTCTTTGAGGACCCAGCATTTGTAAATTCTTCAGTATCATCACTACAAGGAAAGAATATTACTCACCCATTAGCTCACTGATTCACAAACTAAGCCTTTTTCTCGTTCTTAAAACAATTTACAGGGCTAACAACTTGTGCTTGAGAAAAGTCATTAAGCACACTGAGCACATATGCAAAATGTTCTTCTTCCTATCTTTTGTTTCATTTGGGGTTTTTTGGAGGGAGGTACTCACAGTAAAGTGACCCAAATAATTTTACCATACATGACAGAATCCTGCATCTAAAATCAAGATCAAACAACTCTGTACTTCCTCTTCCTCCACAAAATTCTGTATTCCTTGAAGAATAATTCACTGGTGGCCTTGTGTCTCTGAACAGTGTTGCACCACTTCAATACAAGTGTTTTCATTACTATTTTGGCTTTTAAAAACACTGAAGCATTTCAAAGGTTTTTAAAGCTTTTTTCCACCACTCCAGTACATTTTTTAGAAAGGCATCAGTGGGGGAGCTGTTTCCTTCACACTCAGGACTAAGTGGTAGAAATTTTCTGAGTCACCTCAACAACAAAGACATGAAGACAAGCCTCAAAGCAGAAGTACATCTTTTACTAAGGCTTTAAATGAGGATTCTATGCTCTCAGCATTTCCTCACAACCTTCATAGAGAAGTACAGCACTGAAACAAAGCATCCAATGCAGCGTGTAAAAACATTATTTGCTGGATTTAGGTATCAGGTTAAGGATAAGAAGTCTCTCTTTGCCACTTAGATGGCATCTTTGGGACATTTTTCCTGAATTTTGCATTTTGAAATTTGCATTAATATCCTTAATGATACTTTCAAGTTCATCCAGAGCATACAACATATAGCAAGCCAGAAATGAAAAAATAACTTAGAATGCCTATAATGTGTTCATCACTTTTTATTCCACATTTCTTAGAAGAACCCACTCCTCAGAAATGGCATTTCACTGTTGTCCTTAAAAAAATAGTATTTGTGCTGCTGAGCTCTGCACTGGGGAGTTAAAAAAAAAAAAAAAAAAAGGCAACTGAAAAGGGGTAACTGGCCCTTAAGTTACAGCAGAAGTATACTGGAATTTATTGGTACAGAAAATCCATGGAAAATTCAGTAAACCAAGACAAGAAGTTCAAAAGCACTCAAGAGAGTAGTCAGCTCAGTTTCTCAGCCTAAGTAATTTATTTGCTTGTAAGAGTGCAATCACAGGTCGCATGATGGCCAAAGAAGAGCAGGGAAAACTACGGTAGGAGCAAGTTTCCAATGAAAATAAGGTTCAAGTTAATATCCTTCAATTAGCAAATCTGACACATTTTGATGGGCCAGCAGTCAGGACCAGTTTATGTTGAAAAAAAGTCCTGTGCTGTCACAGAAGTGCACATTCATTTTTAAGTGAACTGACAACATAAGCCAACAGGATGGCTTTGAGTTTTCTACACAGATACAGATAAATGAAGAATACGTCAAAGATAATCTGAGGAGAATACTTTACTTTCTATTGCTGAGTAAGAGACACTGACATGGTTCTGCTGTCCAGAAAAATTATTATATAGTGATCAGATCTGCTATGTAAGCCAACATTGATACACAGCCCAGAAACATTTTTGACTGTGCTCAGTTTTAACATGAAAAAATAATGACAATATTGACAGAATGAGGTAGCAGTTCAGATTTTGCCCCAGTCTTAGAATTTTTCCTAATGAGGGTCAAAATACTGCACATGGTATACTGAGATACCAACTAGGAAAAAAACAAACTAACAAACTGCACAGTCACAAATATCCTGAGTAATTATTTGTCTGCTTTGGTGTGCATCACCACAAACAATATGTAATCTATTTGGAAAATAATCTCTGCAGAATCCTTAAGGAAAAATTAATTTCCACCTCTAAGTAAAACATTTCAACAGCAAGTGATGAGATGCTATCAAAAGCTGTAATATCTAAAAAAATAACTCAAAGGATCCACAACACTGTGGATGCTTCTGATAACCAGAAATTCTGCCTCCAGTGGTGGCTGAAGCTTTTGTCATTTAACAGCATCAATAACAGCAGCAGCAGCAGACACCTTGTCGTCTTACACTTCAGGCTCCCTCCCCAATTGTGTTTGCACTAATTACATCTCCAGAATCCACCTTTCTTGGATCTGCCACTGGCAGGGCAAGGCAGCAGTCAGTCTTGATCACCTGGTTCTTAATCGAATCTCATTAGGTCATTAATTCAGACTGTACAAGTTATTTTTAGGTTCACTTAGGTACTTCAAAAGCCCCATTTCCTATTTAAATAGACTTGTAATTAATTATCAAGGGATGCATGGTGCAGGTTTACTCAGGTATCAGCAATTCTCGCTTTCACTCAAGTCCAAGCAGTTAAATTCCACTGTGAAGCCACCTAGCAGGCCGACAGGAGTCTATGCATCTCATGTTTTAGTATAGCTCTGGTACACTTGTGAAGTTTTCACAAAAGGCAATGTTATCTCAAATTTTGAGATCGTAACAAAAAATTCCATCGTGGGATGGTTTCCTGCATATTTTGGTGTCTCACACGGGCTTGTGACCTACACAACTCCTTAATTTGACCCAGTGATGTAACTGACACCCAAATCCAGGTCTCTACACTGACTGTTAGATACATTAACTGCATGTTTGTCTTACCTCCACTTGTAGGCAACTGACATTATTTACCAAGACTGAGCAGAGCATCTGACGTGAAAACTATCAAGGCAGACAAACTTCCCTTTGTCTAACTTTGCTACTAACCTTTTATTGCAAAGTACTTTTTCAGCAGAATGACTGCAATTTCCTACTGACTCAGTGTTTGTTCAGTTCAAGTTACTAATGGAGTATGGACTAAGCCCACAACAATCAATACATTTTTTAGTTTTACAGCACTACAGAGAACAGAATTCATGCTTTTTACTTACATTTGATTTCCAATTATCACTACTACCGAAGCTACAATAAAAGATTTTCCCCTAACAATACTGCAATGACATAATCCAAAACTTTTAGAAGAAAATATTTCCTTTTTTTTTTGTTCTCCTGTATCATCTACACCAATAAGCTTCCATCTCACCTGTTGACTGTGAATATACAAACCTTTTGCCAGTGCCTCTTTGTACTTCTCCTCGGCAACGTTCAGGTTGTTCACGTAGGTGGCATGATGCTTGCTGTGGTGCAGCTGCATGATCTCTGCATTAATATGAGGCTCCAGTGCAGCATAGTCATATGGTAAATCAGGAAGAGTGTGCTTTTGCCTAGAAACCAAGCACCCCAAGGGTGCTACCAACTTGGCACTGCTTCTAGGGAAGAAGAAAACAAAACAGAAGGAAGTAGTTTATTCAGTAAAACTTAGGTTTTATCAGTGAAATAGACTGAATACACTTGTTGTTGATCAGCTGCTTTAACTACCTGGGGTGATATCTTAGCCAAAGAAACCAAATTTCCATTTCTCAGGAGTTTAAAGCAAGCATACCTTGCAGCTTAACTGCAAAGATGAATTCACACAAAGGTCACATACACAGGGCTTTGCACTGTGAAGATACTGCTTCTCAAACCGAGCCTCCGGGCCACTGCAAAGACTCATGTACCCTCCCAAGTATGCACGTGATGGAAATGCAGGGATAGCAATAAAAAGCCAGTAGCAACCTGACGACATTCAATGCTTCACCTAATCTTTATTCAGTAAAAATAGAAGCAAAGATGTCGCCGAAACGTCCTTCTCTCGCTATCCATAAGGTCCGTGTACTGGGAAGTGAAGACGCTAAAAAACCTGCAGACCCCGTGTTCCCAGGACTGGATCTCTCCAGCATGCACATGGACACGAGTTTCCCTGTCCCCACAGGGGTACCGGGACACCACAAGGGGCGTCACGGCCGCGATGCCCGGCACAGACTGTGCTGCCCTTCCCCAATTTAACACCTCGCACTTGTCAGGCGACACGACAAGGGCCACGACGAGAGGAGAATGGCCGGGCCGGCAGGACGGTCAGCTCTGAGGCCCGCAGCCGTATCGCCGGTGACCTTGACACAAGCCAGGGACACACCGCGAGCAAAGCCCTCGGGACCCTGAAGAGCGGCCGAGTGCGGCGACCCCGGCCAGCAAAAGCGGGAGGGTCTGGCAGCACCGTGTCAGGCCGCCAGAGCTGCTCGGCGCGGGCAGAACCTG